GTGTTTCATTTTTCCAAAGATGTGATTTTCATGTGACTGCTTACGCCCCGAGTCGTAGGGTCGTATTCTAGAACTCTACTCAATGCTCAAATCAGGATTGAACAAGCACTGGAAATACGACCCTAATGGCAGGGACTTGAGTATGATTTCGAGTGCTTTAAACCATACTTCAATCCTAACTTGAGCATTGAGTAGAGTTCTAGAATACGACCCTGAGTGTTGTGTAAGATATACATGCTGAATTTCAAGAAGATTGGATAATATTTAGGGGCTGCACGCTTTGGTCACTTTTAGTTCATACTAGTGAAATTTCGAATATTGAAGTGCTTTGCACTAATGGGCTTTCATGTATTTCTTAATTATTTGTAGTTTAAAGTGGGAAGCATATAGGATAGGCTTAGGAAGCGAATAGGAATTTGACTGCTAGAATAGGTACCTTGTAGTAAGTTTTTAGGATCTCGGACTCCTCAAAGGAATAGGATTGGACAACATCAGACATCGTCACATACATCGCACTGATCCCAAAGTAAGTAACTAAAGCACTTATCGAGTTCTTAGGTTTTCGCGATTGTTACACATAGGAAATGAAACTGTTTTTCCGGATTTAAATCGCGTATATTTGTTTTTTCAAACAAACCGATGTTTCGGACCCTTTACAGGTCCCATGGTCACGGTTAACTGACGTGACCATGGGACTTGTATGTATGTATGTATTTCCTAAAGCACTTATGTTATGAAAATCGGAAACAATGACGCTGTCACAAACATCCTGATCCAAGACATTCTATATTGTCAATTTCTTCAGTTTGTTAGTCAGGTCAAGTCTTTCTACATTATCCGGCCACGGATCATACCCGGTACCTTAGATATGGCGACACTACGAAAACCGGTGTACAAGCCACTTGAATACGGAGGTCGTCAATCCAAAACGTTCTAAACGTCGGTAACCATCCAAGAGAAGAGTACAAAGAGTTATTACAACTCGTACTCGCGTACCCAGGAGGTTGGTCTAGCAACGACTTCACTTTCAGAATTTCAGAAAGTATGCATCAAGCAATATGGATAGCAAAGGGAATATACGCACTTAAAATTGTCCTCTTCACGAAACGGTTGAATATATGTACTTCAACGTGAATTGAAAATAATGAAATGAGTTGCACATTTTGTCAGCCTCATATACGTTCAATTTTGGCACGAGGTGATTGGTAAGTCGATGGGCTCAAAAAAAATGTTTTGTATAAAAACATACAACTTCTGAGCACTTCAAAAAAAAATTGCTCGGCGACACTTTCTTCTGACAGAAACAAACGTAAGATTGGTTGTTTTGGACGACCGTATTATTCAGGTTGATATGGAAAATATAGTTAAAGATTTAGAAACTAAACGAACAAAAAAAAAGGAAATGAAAAGATTAGAGGGTAAAAAGTTCAATTTTGAAGGAAAAAACTTGAGCCAACAAGAAAACAAATACTGTTTGAATTGTTTGGGTTCCTCGACGTGACAGAATACTTGCAGTGAATCTTTTAGAAGCCCTGTGAACGGTAATAAAGTGGTCGATACTATGACAGAAAGAGCTTGAGACCTAGAGAGAAATTGCTCTAATAAAAAAGTTTAATGAATCGGTCATTGACGAACAACAAAAACAAAATTCTTCTTGAGGTTAGTAGTATATCACAGAAAAGTCGTCATCAAAGTGAAATTACAGATACATGGGGCTTGTCAACTTATGTCTTAGGGTGCTGTCTTATGATGGGCGCAGTGTTAGTACCCCTCAGATCTTTGATATTTAAAACTCTGAGTGGCATTGCAGTTGTTACCCTGGTGTCCCTTACCACGCACGACTAGTTAATCCCGACACTTGGTGTCACATAAAAAAAAAGTTGATTAATATATTATGTAACACATCTTTTACGTATTCATCTTAGCGTCTTTATTTTAATATAATTTTAAGTTCGTTATTTGTAGTTTTCTTAATAAAAATAATTAACATTGAAAAGTCGTATTTTTGCCTACTTTTACAAAAGTGGTCAAAGTGTGCTACCTCTGAATATTATTCAATTTCCTTGAAATTTGGCATATATGTGTTTTACATCACTGAGACTCAGGGCGTTGTTTACGTTTGCGTTGCAAAAATTTTGAAAATTTTGCAAAAATTTGAAAATGACACCCTCCTAATTAAAAATTTAATTATATATTTTTACGATGTTTAGACAAAATACAAGTCGTCTTGAATTAATGAACAAAAAAGAGTTTCAAATATTTTTTTGGTTATTTTATCAACCCGCATTTGAAACAGTTCGCCATTTTGAAATTCACATTACTTCATCTGTGAGCGCCACCACCGCCAGTGGCACACATTCCATAAAATGTGAAAATCGTATATTCACGATTTTTTTTCCATTTTGGTTTCAATTAGAGAAGACACACTTGTTATTAACAGGTTTACAAGATTCCGTCTTGCGAAATAATCCTAATCCTAAAAAGTCATCCAAGAGAGTGGATGGATTTTTTAAGAACTTTTAGGAATCTAAGTGATTCGTTGGGTTTTGCGAGAATAATAAAAATCTAGCCGTAGTTCCTTGTATGGGGAATCTACCCCAATTTATCTTCGTAAATTTACAACACACTATATATGGAGGTTGACGTAACATCTATCTCTACAATTTCATTAGAATCAATGCAGAATTATGATCCAACCCTAATTGACGGCCTACGTGGCGAAATTATAAGGGTTCTGTTTTGCCGTGGTTACAACTCAAAAAACTTTGATTTTGATGTCTATTTACTAACTAGATGTTTTTCAACTTCGTATGGCCCCGAGTTTGTAAATCCACCTCTGTTCATATGTTGAACCATTTTATACAAGTACCAAGAATGTTTCCAGATGATTTTAACATAGGTTATGTGTACTCTACCGTCCATGTTAGCGGGTGCATTGGGGTACCTCATTCCAGCGTGACCATGGTCGAGATTTTGAAATTAGACTAGTCGGAAAAAAGTCGCTATTTAGTTGGTTCTAGTTCCAAAAAACTAGATTTGGTCGGTCCGCCGTTCAAAACTTATAAGGGTGTTTTACTGTCCATGCTAGAATAAGCTTATTCCGCCGGCACCAATTTTAAGTCACGAGAACCAGCTCCTAGTTTAGATATGAGTGCACCCAGAAAAAGTCGTTTATTAATCGGTTCTAGTCGCAAAATTTTACAATTAGGCTCCTTTGGTTAGAAGACATTGGATATTCAATTATTTTCATTGATAGGTACATTTGCGTAGAAAAATCGTACACACAATGAAAAACGTATATCTATACTCTGTCCCACCATTTATTTAACTTTTGACATTTCGAATTCTAATCGATTAGTGATGTCGTAATGCGTTTCCGATTCGTTTTTTTTTATAACAATCGATTTTACGAAGAAGAAAAGTGAATGTGAACGGGTTCAAAAAACAAGATAATGTCTGATTGCGACTGTTATGTTGCGTTTGACTATTTGTGTACTCAAGAATTAATAATTAATGTTAATGAGGATACAAGTGATGATTCCCGTTCATATGGAGAAGAATCCGAGGATTCATAAGTTTTTATTATAAGTATTTACAATTTATTTCATTTCATTATCATTTATTAGACAGAGACCAAAATTTACCAATTTGAATAATCTTCGTAACATAAACCGTTGGCATAATAAATATCGGATCTAAAGAGCACGTCGGTTCACTAAAAATAAAAAATAAAGGAGTAAGTAGTAAGTATTGCATTTTTTATCTATGATTGCGCCTTAAATGGTTGTAAGTCAATAATTACCGAAGTTCGGGATATGCGTATGTAAAAGTTAAATAAATGGTTGGACGGAGCATAAGGAAGGTCACCGCTCCAAATGTTCCTTGTGAAACCACTCAATATATCGAGTTCGTGGTGATTAAAATAATTTTGAATTGATAAAGTGTAATAAATAAATATTTTAAATATCTATTGAATTTTAGTCAAATTTAACCGTAACACAAATTGTACTTGAAAATGACTAGCGCTATAAATTATAATAGTCACCGTTTATTCAATTAAATCATTCATTCATTATTAATTATTCTTAGTCGTACGCGACTGTACTCCACGCGACTCGTTCTCTCGTGTAGGCCAGGAGCCCAACACCATATACATACACTAATAAATATCATGACAATCGATAAATCCTAATGCCATGAAGGAAAAATAACTGTATATTTTTTGGTAATTTCCTTGTATTAAAAACTAAACATGATTAAAACCTTCAAATAGCATACATTTAAAAAAAAAAGAAAAAGAATTTCTGTATATTATCTATTTATAATGATGCAAAATTTGTACATGAGCTCCAAGACTAACACAGATATCGGTTGTATCTTCTAAACAAAGGGGCGACTAATTCTAAAGTTTCGCGACTAGAACCGACAATTCACGATTTTTTCTGGGTGCAATCAGATTTAAGCTAGGTGTTGTGGTTATCGACATTCAATAATACGACCGACTAAATCTAGCTTTTTCGACTAAAACTAGAACCTACGAAATAGCGTCATTTTTCTGGCTAGTCAAATTTCAAAAACTCGTCCATGGCCACGCATGAATAAGTCACGCGGTTCATTGAAATTTAATTGAAAATTATAAAAACAAAAAGTATGTTATCACTAAATACACGAAATATAAAATATTCATATTGTTAAAATAATGTTAGAAATTAATTTAGGTTACATAAAACCAAAATAAATACGAAATGTGAAATGAAACGGAAAGTAAAGTCGCATTCGCATTGTATGGCATTACAACGATGAAGTCAATCAAAACAATAAAAAATGATGTGATAATAAAAATTATCGGTAGATCACATACAATCTGTCAGTGTAATTTCAAATTCTTAATTAAAAAACATCATATTAAGGATATAATTAAAATGTTAAATTTGGAAATGATTTGATAGTATATGACCCACCTTAATAACTACTGTTGCTATCTCGAGGGTTAGGCCTACCTGCAAGCAAATCTAGGATCGGGCGATTGAGCTCAAAGTTTGTGCTGTTCGGCGTTTACTTCTCTCTCCCAACAATGTAGGCTGTCAAAATGTACCATAAAACCAATCAAATCAACCATTAACTTCACCATTATAAGCGCCAAATCTATACATAACCCTCCAAAAGTACAAATGATCACAAAAAGTAGCGAAAGATATCTATTACGTATTTTATTACTGCGGAAAAACCACTTAAACATTTTAAGATCATTTGTAGTTTAACTGGAGACGCAAGTTTTGTGGACATAATAAATTCGCTAGAGCGCAACAACAATTCGCTTTATGTGCAAAACAGAAACTTACAAAAAAAAATGTAATACAATAAAACTATCCTAAGGAATAAGAATTAAATAATTACCTGTAAATACTGGTTTTGAAATGTAGCAAGCTGTAAATGCTGATAATTGTTCTCGATTCGACATCAGTCATATCTGTAACAATTGAGAACTTGTTCTCTTATCCGGGTATGAAACAAAACATGACAAAAAAATTTACAATCAGAGACGCAGCAGGATTACATTGGCACATGAGACATACACATGAGAAAAACTGAAAAGAGTTCGCTTGGGCAAGCATTACATTAAAGGCTATATAACGTTCGGGTACACATAAAAATAGAACTCACCGGTGAAGCCGACCACGTGCTGCTCAACTGAACTACCGCGACGTCATGTCGCCGCCGGTACGAACTTTTCCATTACCTGTTAGAAAATATAAATGTTGAACAGAGAAATATGTATATAGTGCTACTATAAAAATATTCCTTTCATCGGCGAAAGGTTTTAATTGACATGAAATGTAGGAAGATAAATTGTGCATTTTAATTTATTTATATCTAAATTCTGAGCACAGTGAAAAAAAACTTATTGTCCGCATAACGCATCAAAGGGAGATTGTATATGTGAAAAAATTTCCGAAAATAAAAGAAATCACAAATAACTGAGAACGATCTAACGAGGAAATGCCTATTTTCATAGAAGTGGCGAGCCCTGTGGCCCGTTTTCCTACGGCGCACTAGAGCGAACACAACCTGTATTAAAATGCGTGATTGATCTAAAATGAAATGGATTTACAAAATGTGCGTTCATTATTCAAAAATAGTGAGCAACTCCTATGAATAAACCAACTATAAGTAATGCCTTATTTCGTTGCACTAATCCTTAGGTTTATTTTATAAATTATGTAATTTATGTTGCATTCAGTAAAAATTGACAAAGGCTAATATGAGTTTATAGTACGTCTATAATAGACTTATTTGATTTATTTTCCTTGTGAAGTATTACAGGAAAGCTTGGCAACGGGAAAAAATGTGTAAGATGATCGACTCTACAGTCTGAAGAATAAGGTTGACTCCATCAAGACACTCGCGTACGATATCAGAAAAGTTTGCCTTATTCAGAAATCGATTGGATAGCGCATGCGTGGTTCTCGCGATGCCATTCGTCAGTGGAGCTATTGGCTTAGCTTATCCATCTCTATTTTATTACACATCAAATTACGTGTTAGCTATCACAATGCGAAATGATTTTTGACACCTGAGGCACTTTCCAATCTTGGAATAATAATAAAATATATGTAAGTATACTGATAGTTCATTCAAAATTTTTAGAAGATATAAATCGATTATTTCTGAAAATGTGAGGTAGATTATTTGCTTAATTGATCAAAGTCAATCGTATGGCTTTCTGCGACTCAAGTTTGTTTTACTGTGTATCGACATGAATATTTTTGTAAATAACATATATAAAGTAGTTACACGTGAAATAAAGATGATGCGGTCAGGACGCTATGCATATTTTATCTCGGACGCAAGACACGACATATTACAAATACTGTGTCGATACCGCCCTGACCTCGGCCAAAGCTAACGGCCCCAGTGCATTCGCCGTGGCGAGTTCAACGGCACTTGTTTTTTTATATTTTTTGCGACTCACATCCGACAACGCCATTTAGGCAACCGTATTCTGAACTATATAATGCAACGGGTTAAGAGGGGAGCACCGGGACATTATACAATAAACCATAAAGATAGTAGCCTTTGTGCCAGAGCCAAACAAACCTAAAAAGACAGCAAGTAAAAGCACTTTAGGAGAAAGGAGATTAGTTTTATTGACTGCATTTTTTTTCGACTTCATTTCGCTTGTTTATGTTAGAGCGAGAGTAACAATAGATTAGATTAGACATTAGTTAATGAATACATTAGTTATCAGCTCACACAAGAACCAGGCGACATAAAACGTACCCTTTGTGGAGGGTAAGAAAGATCTTTACAGTGACCGATGACCGACGCCGGTTACTTGTCAGCTTTCTACTACTGACCTTCATCTGTCGTATACACACGGTATAATATAATTGAATTCATCGGAACATATTCACTGCAACTTGCGTTATCAATATCATAAAGGACGCGTATCTAAGTGTTAATGAATGAAATATTGTTTCATTAGAGCTATTTGGTGCAGTTTTGATATTGACGGCACTCAACATCAAAACATACAACTACAATCACGACCCTTAAGGGCTGAGCAATAACACCATTTTACTCTCGTTTACAAACACTAATTTGAAATTGTTATTTTTTACGTTTGGTGATGTCGTATCAAACCAAAACTTGGTTTTTCTTATAATAAGAAATAAAATGACATTACTGTTCATAATTTTAAGTACCCGGGTCGCTTTCAGATAACCTCCAAAAATGTGTCCCTTTCAATAACTTTTATGTAATTACATGAATGCTAAGCATTATTTCTTTAATATGAATGCTTGCTTACTTAGTCTGTATTACACACAAAAAGACTAATTTACTACGTCACAGTAATAAATAAAAATTAAAAAAGTGGGCAATTTGTCATTCAAGCAAGTTTGTCATGGGAGCCGGTTCCACGTCGCCCTAATTTTAAGAAAAGAAAAAAGAACACTAGTAAGTAACAAATCGCAATATTTTCCATCGAGGATAAACTCTAATAACTTACACGTCGAATACATACCGTAACTTTCCAATTTATTACAAACTAACATGTTTTCTTGGCAATGCAAAATGTGTTTCAATTTTTCTTATCATTAGTGTCAATTCAACTAAAAGCCTCCTAATAACAAAAGTTCATACCGCATCACCTTCACCCTTCGCACACGTGAGAAGGGACTCCTGTCGGATTGGAGTGTACACAGTGAAGAAACTTGTGCATCTCCGTTTTATTAGTATTAGTAGTTTTTCGGCGCTAGTGACTAAAGCGTTCTCATTAAGTAATAGTTTTATAAACTTTATTGTACATCAATTAGACAAAGGGAACTTTAAAATCCTTGCACTTTTATACCGGTCCAGAATATTTTACACACTAGACAATTAAAAATGTATTCAAATATCATTATTGTCGCTCTCATTCTTGTCTACTTTTAAGTCAAATGGTTACTTTAAACCAAACATTTACTTTAAATATAACAATTAGATGATGATAGTGGTGGTGATGACGGCGGTGACGATGATGATGGTGGTGATGATGACGATGATGATTGTAGGGATGATGACATTGATTGTAATGATGATGTGAATGGTAATGATGCTGATGGTAATGGTAATCATGATGATGATTTTGGTGGTGGTGATGATAATATATTGATGTACAACAAAGTTTATATGATATTAACAAAACACTTATTTAGATTTATTTATTTATTACATATAGATAGATAGATGGTCTTACACGAACGAGAAGGGTTTTGATACAAGAAGTTATATTAAAATATTTGTTACATGTTAAATGTTGTTAAATGTTCTCTTGTGAACGATAAAATGTGTGTTGTAATAATAATTTTTCATTACTGTGCCGTCTTTCTCATTTAAGTTTATGAGAAAATTATTCGTGTTACTGCAATCTCATTCGTGTGATCTAAAATATCGTTTTTTGTTGTATTTAACGTAAATATTTTTGTGATTTTATAATTATTGACATTGCTTGAACTTATTTGTACGTTTAAGACCTTAAAACCAACAGAAAAAAGGGTTTTACAAAAATCAGTCAAAAAGTGCCATTAAAATTCGGAACGTGTAATTAGACAAGAAAAATTACACAATAAAGGGAAAGTAGGGATAGCTTCAGACGCTCACATTTAATAGCAATAAAAGTATTAAGTAAAAACAAAAGACTGAAATGACAATAACAAATAATTAATGCGTATTGTAAGATAACAAGTGCAGTGATACTTCCAGTTATCACGTTGCTCTTAGCACGTCATCACTGTTAGTTACCTCTTGTGCTACTGAACTTGAAAATCCTTTCTTTTAAAATGCATTGGCAATATAAAGAACCAATACCGTTAATTGTAAATGCATAAAGTTACAGGTATATGTTTAAAAATAAAGTCTACACTTATTAGTAGGGCATTTCTTTCGTTAAACCTTGTATATACAAATAAGAAAAATATACTATAACGGGACGTTTATAAAACCATCACAGCTAGTACAACGTCCTTTTTGTTTCGCCATCAGTCAGTAGCGATACAAAAGCAATGTTTTCGTTTTGACTTACGCATGCCTCAGCTAAACAAGAGTTCTTTGTTCACTTTTCACTTAATTTTCATATTTTTATTTAGTACAAATATCGCGTTAGTCATAACCAGAGCATTTATTCTTTGTTGTGGATATTCTCATAAATTCTTTACGAATTTTACTTTAAGAATGATGTTTGTTAATTCTTGTGTGAAGGAAAACTAGAGCTCTACAATAGATAGAGTTGAGAGATTGATCGCTTTTTATTTTAAAGGAACCTACAGTTGGTGTAACACATACTCTGGTTTCCAATACAATATATTGTGGTTTCCACTATACATACATGATCAGTTAGTATGCCAATGACAGCTGTTCAGGTTTTAATACAATAACAAAATAAAACCATTAAACAATGTTACAATGCCAGAAAATAAACAGAATTTAATTAAAAATAAGAATCACAGTTCAATATTACATACACATTACAAACTTTACTGCTGTAATCAAGTCGGTACATTCATAAAATATATAATGCAGGTGTCTAAAAACAAAGTGAGTTAGTCTCGTTCCGAAATGCGTTTCATTTATATCATGATAGAAGCGGTCCTTGTGGTATTTCATAATATATAATAGTGCTTTCCAAGTGTGAATTTTAACTCTACATTTTTTAATAGTACCAAACAAAGACTGTTGGGATTACTCCGCACTTATAGCCCAAATTGAAATTCTTCTCTTCTTAAAAGAAAATGTTTGGGCAATTACAGTAAAAAATGTATACTGTATAATGGTGAACAACAGGTGTTAGTCTTACCTTGCTTGTTTTATTATATCCTCACTGCGAATGTCACGTTACTCCGGAGGCCATTTCTGTGAACCAAACAAACGTCGATGTTAGAGTATAGAAGTAAACCAATAATGTGTTATCAAAACACAATAATTGTATTTTTGGGTACTCTCACTCAAATACACCACGTATTTGAGTGAGAGTACCCAAAAATACAATTCCGAGGGGAGAAGAAAACGCCATAATGTGCTATGGCCTTGAGAGGCGGGTCGGTCGCCGACACAAACCGCCATGTGCTCCGAAAGCGTTCCTTCCGAGCCACCCCGCCACGCTAAGGGCCTGTTACCTGAGTGCGGGAATTTTACGACTGCCGCCGACCCAATTGGCTGCATCACGCTTCTAACTTTATTTCACTCCCTAATCTCCCATATACGAGGGTATTCGACACCGTATCTAGCGCGACGCGTATTTCACACTACACTTCGTCGCGTTATGACTTCACAAAGTAAGGACAATTGCATAAATTGTAACCATAGTTTTTGTCTCGCATATTTAAAGGGTAAATAACTACCGAAAGAAGTGTCGACTACCTGAGCACGCCTTTTTATAAAAGATCCCTTTGCCAAAACATGGTTAAATACCACCAAAAATTCCTTTTAGTGTGTTTAGGTATTTTTTACAATTCATAAGTAACGTGCACACGAAAGTTATTACTATTTGTTTGACCTACAGTTAATTGGATAATTAATTAACAAACTGAATTTACCGGATGTGAATAACCGTCGCCACGGCGCGTCAATTGACAAAATTAGTTCATTACATCACCTATGAAAATAATTAAATGAGTGAGTCAGCGAATTAAGCTGTAGTACATCACTGGCATAGAGTTCCCACTTTCTTCATACCTCGTAGTCTCGAAGTTCAATTTGACTATTTTTAAGTGAATTCTTAAGTTTAATTCGGTGCAATAAGCGTATACTAAGTCAAATTGACTCGATTTTATTTTGCCCCCGAAACTTAATTCATTTCATAAATTGATAATAAATCCAGGTAGGAGTACTTTTGTATTAAACAATGTGTATATCTAGTGTAGTATAAGTGGAATAGCATAGCTGAATGATTTAAGACGTGATGAATATGGAACCGATCACGTCCACGTTACTCAGGCGTATTTGCGGTCACGTTTAGCAATGTTAATGTTAATTGCGTGCAGCGACGCTCTACTTGGTGTAACGGAACGTCGCGTGGTCAATTCTAAGTTTCGCAAACACTTTTAGGGAACGAGATTGAAAATTTTAATACCTATTAAACTAACCATACTGAATTACTGTCTAAAATATTTCCTTATTTTGAAATTTCCTGAAATTTTAGTTCGAACACCGCGGTTTTAAACACTATTTGGAACTCATAATTACTATTTCATATGGATTGATCATGAACAGTGTAATAACAAATTAAAATGTAAGAAATAAATAATCTGTGCTTTAATGCCCTAAAAATGGTTGTATGGAACCGTTTCCGATTCCGACAACCAATGGCAGGTTATAAAGACACCGTACCGTTCAATGAAAGCCATAGCTGTTTGTTTTTCAGAGTACAGGATCTCAAAAGAAAAAATCTTAAAACTTGTTAGATCACTTGCGTGTCTAATCATTTTTCGAGGAAACTATTGTAGAAACTAAACTAACGATGTCGAAATTTGAAATATTGTAATATTTTCCAAAATCAAGACACAATTTCCTTTACTCTTGGGTTACCATTTCATAGGGCTATATACATAAAAGGAACTTTAAAATACTTTTTGGTAATAAATAAAATATTTAGGTAAATAGTGTGTTGTGGGATAAATAGATAAAGGTGTGGTAAATTTTGTTATTATTATAAAAAGCCTCTCCGATTGGATTTTTTTTATGTCTCTGGACCATTAGAAGCAACGTAAATCACAGCTAATCGCGAGTAACTGCTTCAGTGGCTGAACGGTTACCATACCGATGTTCGATTCCCAAGCCGGGAGAAATATTTGCATGGCCTACATTTATTTATCTCGTGAGTTTGGGTGTAATTTGTAGTTGTCTATGTATGTGTCCGCGACACGGGTTTCCCTGTGCGGGGTTATGTTGAGTGTGTTTAAGTACAAAATTTTATACAAAGTGTATTGTAGTAACAACAATGGATTAGTACTGATAAAAAATATACGTAAATTTTCGTTTTCTGAACGCCATATGGGTTAAATAGTAGTGTAAGTAGGACATAAATTAGGTACATAGTTACTTTGATTTATTTACTTTTTATCCAGATTAGAAGTGTAATTTAGATAAAGTACTTATAACCATCGCAACCACCGACTATTTATGGACACTAAACAATATAAGTGAGGTACTCCTTATTTTAAAGTGTGGCAGCGTCACTTAATGTGTTGATGTGGATAGTGAAACTCCATTATATGGCCACTCTGTTCTATGAAAACGAGAGAACAATGTAAACAATAGCACGACATGACTCGACTTGCGCGACATAAAGCGCGAGATACTGCTATTCTCGCATAGAGATTTCGTGCTTAATGTCGCTCTCGCGCAACACGCGCCCTGCCGTGGTAGTCCTACCGAAAAGCTTTCAATTAGAAAATGTAATCACGAAAGAAATATTGCTAAAAAATTGCCGCTAATAAAAGTTAATGTGTAGTATATTTACACATTAACTTTAATTAACATTTAACAAAATTAACAAAAAAACGGATCTGCTGATAAGTATAGCTAAGTAAATAATAAAAAGGTTAGGCCGATTACGGTCGGTGTGCTCTGTCGATGGGCGTGGTCGGTCAAACTAATTTCATTCGAGATTCAAGACGTTTAGACTATTTGCACGCTGAACTTATTGTAAGTGCCTTATAGATTCATAATCAGAGCACAAATTGTAGTAAAAAAATTATAATAGCGATCACAACGAATGTTTTGGGTACTCAGATAAAGAAGTATAAAAAGTGAATGCTTAATCTGCGGAATCAAATGTTTGCGCGAAACCGCTACTGGGTAGTATCCAATAATTCGAACTACAGCATAAACTACATCTTTCACGGAATAAAGTAGGAACGTGAATAAGCAACAGCACGTGTAAAATTTCTTCGCATACCGACCATTGCGTGCGCCGGTTGAAGACGAGCTGCGAGTCTCGAGAAGCAAACCAGTTCAACCAGTGATAGAAACTCTGTCACAGTCCATTTCGCACGACGCCTGTGTCCGCGCTCCTAATTGATGAGTCTCGCCAATAAATCAGCAGCTACTTCAGTTGTATGAAATTTGCGTTATCCTCGAGTAAATTCAACGAAATCCCAATAGAGGTGTGTTCAATCCTCAACACAACACCGTGGCCACGGAATCGATTCGTTTCGTCGGCCACGTGACATGTACGCTACGAGTCTGATTTGTCATCACATACCGTTGGCCGCTATAGCTGAGCCTTTCTATCCCGCAACTCCAACATAGATAGAAGGAAATAGACGTTGCGCCTCTTTCGTTTTCCGGATGCGCGCGCACGTTTTCCCGGTCTGCACAACTTGTTGAAGCTGACTACGGCCCAATAATTAAGTCCGCAGGCCACCATGTTGCTTCTCGTTTCTGAATGGGATTCATAATAGTCGCGCAAGTATCGAATTATGTTTTAATCGAAAATTGGAAAATAGTCATTATTTTTCATATAAATCCATGACTTTCAATGGATTTTAAATTGATGGTTTTCTCTTACTCGAGAAGGTTTTTAGATTTAAGTTTTCTTTTCTATTAATTTTAATTATTTTTTATTTAAAAAGAATACAGAATTAGTCAACGAATGCTCTAATAGTCATAAAATTTATTAAAAAAAATCTCGTTTCTACCTGAGGTTAAAACGACTTCATCGTGACGAGGGATGGGCGGGTTCGACTTGGCAAAGAATAGCTTAAGCCAGGGTATATTTATGTATTGTAAGTACTTAAACATCGGAATCGGCTTAATCGTTTATTGAAGAGCATTATGGGTTAAGTAGACATTACGTTATCTAGTCGCAGTATCCGATGCATTTTGTGAAGAATTCTAAATCCATGTAACTTGTTTAAGTTTATAGAACTGGGATATTAATTTCACGAAAAGAAAATTCCTTGTCAGTGATTTCAAAACAAAAAAATTAAACATGTGTTTGTCGAATAACTTGTTCAAAACTATAATCAATTAACCTAACTTAATCTAACCGCACAAGAAAAATGAAAAAAAAATCGATACTAAAAATTTTTTATTTAACCCGGGCACTTGTTTTTTGGTTCATGGTACTATTATAATGGCAATTATCAGTATCATCAGCTGAACCAACAATAATCTGGCTGATGGTACCAGGAGTTCCAAAGGAATATGAGATATGTAAATGAAATCCACGCTTCTCCGTTTTACAACAAAAAGTTCATGTAGGTGTAATGTAAACGATACGGCATTAATAGAACAAACATGTGGTGCGAGAGAAGCGGCCTGATCGAGAGGCCCGTTGAGGCGGTCTGGTCATTGGCACGGGCAGGGGTCTTCGCCCCGCGCCATCTTGCGGCAATAACTGACCTAGCACTAGGCGCACCTTCCCGCAACCGAGGGTCGCGTTGCACCTGGCGAGCAAGCGACACGGCCGACGCTCGTTTTTGTGCCAGCTAGGTATCTGTCGGTGGCAGTTTATTTTAATCGTGCGCGCGCACATGGCGCGAGCGCAGGGGTCGCGCGCTCTTTCGCTGTGACAGAATTTTACACCCTAGATTGTAGTGCACAGGGTGCAAATGCCGCTGTGCTGCTTGCGAGGCGTGACTTGTAAACAAACCGGGAGAGGGCAATGGCTGCCTGCCACTCCCCGCGCTCTGCGTTGCCCGCGTCGAGGCGACGCCATTCAACCGGGAAGTTCACGCTTTATTTTTAGCATTCTATGAAACGAATAACGCTCTGTGTAATAAAGTGCGCTATGACAATCTTACAGTTTCAGTCCCATTCAAAATTGTTTTCTTTTTTTACATGAAATGTGTCCCAAAATAATTCTGAATGTGTGCGATAGATACTTGGGTACTTTGCATGATAAACTT